AGATCATAGAGATGCAGTCAAATTTTGAAAGAAATGTTTATGAGGAAGCACAGCTTACCTGAATTCATGTATGGATCTTATAAAAATCAAAAGGTCTCCATGGCTTTTGAGATGATTGTTGTGGTTGGCACTTTGGCTTTTTAGCAGGGTGTCACCAACATCACATATGGTTTTAGAGCCTGATTGCTTGCAGGTTAATTTGAAGAACTAGAGGCCTGCAAAATGATGCAGACTTTATACACAACATATATTATCTACACATCAGATAAATAAATCATACATAATGAGATAATTGACATTTCACAAACCTGCATGCATTCACAATACTTGTTTGAGCAACTTTATTTTTTAAAATTGTATCCTCTTTTATGCTTGGATCTTAATCTTATTTTCACCCTGCACAAGCAAATGCAAAACATTAAGAGAAGTTAAAAATGCTTGGAAAGACCAAATTTACAAATGTTGAAAAAATCAGCAACAACCTTCCTCATGGTTAAGTTGGTAGAAGAAAGAAGTGATACACGAGTAGAATAAGACTAATGAGTTCAGTGGTAAACTTTGATGCTACTCTATGCCAATTGCATAATAGGTTTTAATTTGGCAAATAAAGTCCAACCTCACAATCAGCATTGAAGTCTGTGGTCTGGGTTGGGCTACCAAGCCATGATGCCAGCCTTTAATTTTCGAATCTAGGTTTTAATTTGGCAAATAAAGTCCAACCTCACAATCTTTCTACTCATTATCATCAACCTGTTGCACACTATCATCATCTTGCTGCTCATTATCATCAACCTGCTGCTCATTGTCATCATCTTGCTGCTCATTATCATTAACCTGCTGCACACTATCATCATCTTGCTGCTTATTATCATCAACCTGCTGCTCACTGTCATCATCCTGATGCAGTTGACTAGGAATCTAGAATTGTAGTAAAGCATTTGAATGGAGAAATTATTAGTATAACATTTTAAAACTTGAAATTACATATACTGAAAGGGAAAATAAATTATCAACTTAATTTGCTTTTGAATTGTACGTAACAATGGTAATATATAATAAATTTGGTTTTAGTTGCTACGTACTATAAATAAATAGAAAAAATAAAAAAGATTTAGCAGTAGTACCTAAAAGATTGAAAGAAGGTAAATGCATAATTGAAATCAATCACGAAGACAAGGGAATTAAAGAAAAAAGATTTACTATTATATATAGTTAAAGGCTGAAGATACCTCAATGGGAGCTCCTTTGCCTTGGATCCATCTGTAGTCTATTTTGATGTTTCGAATGTGAGAGATGCAGTCCCACTCAAAACCACTTCCTCTGGTGCATCTTTCCTCTAACTTAGGGCATCCATCAATATAAAGGCTTTCTAATTTGGAGAGGCGTTGGATGGCTTTCATATGTTTCAGAGATTTGCAGTTGGAAATCTCCAGAGTTTTAAGAGAGGATAAGTTTCCAAACCAATTTGGCAAAGCTTCCAGTCCATAAAAATCCCTTATTCCAAGAGACTTAAGGGCAGTTAGGTTTTGAATTTGATACGGCAGACGTTCTCTTGGTTCTCCCCATGCAATCAAAGTCAATACTTCAAGATGAGATCCGATGAAGCCCAGATCTGGAAATTCCTTGAGCTCTGTTGAGAAACCACCAATAGTCAGCTTCTTCAGGCGAGCAAGGCTGGCAGGGTTAGGGGTGCTCCAGCTCCTCCTCAAATCATCTGGAATAGAGATTAGATTATCACAGTTGGAGATATACAATTTCTCAAGAGCAGTGCATGATGGCAACCCACTTGGCAAACTTCTTAATCCACCACAATTGCTTATCCATAAAGTTTGAAGAGATGAAAGCCCATGGAGGTTCGGAAAGGACATCAAACCATGGCACCCCCTTACAGTCAACTCTTTGAGACACGTGGCAATAGATAAATCCTCTTCTATGCTTTTCAATTGCCTACACCAGCCTATTTCAATTTTTTGAAGAGACGAAAGCCCATGGAGGTTCAGAAAGGACATCAAACTATAGCACCCCCATACAGACAACTCTCTGAGACACGTGGCAGTAGATAAATCCTCTCTTATGCTTTTCAATTGCCCATACCCGCCTATTTCAATTTTTTGAAGAGATGAAAGCCCATGGAGGTTCGGAAAGGACATCAAACCAGACCAGTCCTTTACAATCAACTCTTTGAGACACGTGGCAGTAGATAAATCCTCTCTTATGCTTTTCAATTGCCCACACCTGCCTATTTCAATTTTTTGAAGAGAAGACAACCCATATACATTGGACATGGACATGGCAACTGGTGCAACCTCTACTTTAACTAGTTTTTCACAGTTCTCAATGATGAGTTTCTGAAGAGACGAATATGCAATGCTTTTCAAATTCTTGCAATTTTCAATTTCTAACTTTGCCTCATTGCGGAGTGAAAGTGATGGAATGCTTTCCAACCAAGGACATTCATAAAAGGTCATGAACATCAGATTTTTGAGAAAATTTTTTGTTTCTAACATCCATGAAGGACAGCTTTTACCACAGTAGCGTTCAATAGTTAGGCCTTTCAAATTTGAATGAGGTTGGAGGTCTTCCAAGATATCTTCATCATGTTTGCATCTATCTTCACTGCCACTGGATTTCTCACTCGACGGTGATTGCCGGTCTTGAATTGTACGCTTTTTACCAAACACCAATTGCAACTCTTGAATTGTAGCCTTTTTAGAAAGTCCTGCTCCCATGGCTTCTTTTTTGTGTCTAACCATATCCAAATTGCAAATCTCTAATTTTCCTCTGAGTTGGCTTAAACATCCCAATTCTTCAATTTGATGTCCCTTCTGTTGGCCCACAGCAAATAATTGTAATGTTCTCAAATAAGTTGGTCTACCAATCCTTGCTAGCATAAGCGGCTGCTGATTGAAATAAATATGTCTCAAATTGACTAATTTCCATATTCCTTCCAAAGGCCTTTTGATTCTCCAACAATCCAAAAATCTAAATGTCTGCAAATGATAGAGCTTGGTGATGAATTTGGGAAGTTCTTCGATTCTAGTTTGCGAAACATCCAAGAACCTTAAATGCTTCATTTTACCCAAAAAAGCTGGCAACTCATCAATATTAGCACCGTAGAAACTGAGAACTTGCACCTTTATGAAGTTTCTAAGCTTATTTTGAAAGACATCAACTCGTGAAAATATGGTACACAGTTCCCCTATTTCCATTTTTGACATACCCTCCTCAGAAATGAGATTCAAATGCCGAATGTCTAAAGGAATATCACTACTACTACCATCCTCCAAATGCTGAATGTCTGCAAGAGTATCACTACTACTACTACAATCCCAAATCAACGTTTGAGACTCTGAAACAGATTGTGCTAGATCATGTATTAAATCATGCATTTTGCAAGAAACAATACTGCCATAAGAGTCTTCTATCGCATCTTGAAATAACGAGTATGAGAACAAGTCATTGAAATACTTGCCACCAATATCTTCCATCTCCTTGTAGCTTTTTCTAAATGGTTGAAGATATCCTGCAAGAAATAATATTGCCATAAGAGTCTTTTACTACATCTTGAAATAAGGAGTATGAGAAAAGTCACTGAAATACTTGCCACCAATATCTTCCATCTTCTTGTAGCTTTTTCTAGACGGTTGAAGATATCCTTCACCCATCCAAAGCTGGATTAACATCTCCTTTTCCATGACAAAGTCTTTGGGGAAAATAGAGCAAAAAGCAAAACATTGTTTTAAAGTTGGTATTGGCAACTGATCAAAACTTAATTGCAATACACGCAAAACTCCATCAGCATTTTCTATTGAATCCCATACTTCCTTATCATCTCTAATTGATGTCCAATAATCTTTGTTTATATTATTGCACAATGTCCCCCCTACAACATTTGCAACTAATGCCACACCTTTACATTTCTCAGCAATGTTCCTTCCAGTACTCTCCAATTCCTCCAATTTCGAAGAATTAGGAGACTTGCCAAATGCTTTAAGCCTGATAATAGACCAACAATCCTCTTTCGTTAGCTTGTCAAGATGCATGTGCTTGGCTCCCATTACGGAATCTACTTTCTCAATTCTAGTTGTGACAAGAGCTCTACTCCCACCCCTTTTACCTATTCCCAACAAACCTTTTTTTAAGTTATCCCATTTCAGCTGTTCTTCATTCCATACATCATCTAGAATGAGGAGATAGTTTTTCTCCTCAATCTCTTCAGAAGAGTTTTTCTGCACAAACTTTTCTTTAAGTTTTTGAACTACAGCTTCTTTATCTTCAAAATTCACATGACCTTTCTCATTAGTGATGAGAGATTTCAGCATCGTTGCTAATATTTTTTTCTCATCAAAATTTTCAGAGGCACAAACCCACATCTTTTTGTAAAAATGTTTCTCTATCAACTCATTGTTGTACACTAGTTTTGCCATGGTAGTTTTGCCTATCCCTCCCATACCAACTATGGATACAACAGGGAGAGGTTGATCATTACTTGAATCAATCAACAACTGAACTACTTCTAGGACTTTATTGTCTCTTCCTACAACCATTCATGGATCACCAAGTGAGGAATTTGTCTGTTGGATCCCTATACGTTCAGGAAGCTTGTTTGCGAGTCTATGTTGAAGCCCTAGTCCAGTGGCCCAATCATTAAGGCTAGCTAGATCTAAATTCAAATCCTTAATCCTATTAGCTATCTTAAGGCGAAAAGCTAAAGAATTGGAAAGAGTAAAGAAATAGCTGACCTTTTTCCACATTCATTTTGAGCCACCTTGTACCTTAGATGTTCATATGCAATCTCATCCACCACATTGTCAGCTTCATCAACTATATTTCCAAGCTCCTTCAGCCAAGGTTGCAGATCAGAGTGACCTGTCACCTTCTTCTCTTCTGCATCTTGCAGCACCCCCCTGACCATGCTCAACACCACACGGAACTTCTTGAGCTCTTGCTTGAATCCCACTGCTAAGTTAAGTTGCTCAGTAGTA